TTCATTAAGTAAACCCATGACCTTTGTGAGTTCAACTGGTATTAGGTCTTTAAATACCTTCTTTATATGTCTCAACTCCCAAATTTATGTCAACTGTCCAGACTTTTCTCTCAACTCGACTGATTGAGCCAATTTCCTACTCAGTGTCTCCACTTTGAAGTCTAACGAACTTAACTTAATGTTCAAAATTGAACTTCTGATTGCCCTCCTAACTCTGCTCACTCCACTTTCCCCATCTCAGTTAATGACAACTTCACCTTTTTAACTGCTCAGCTAAAAATTTGGAGTTATTCTTAACTCACTTTACTCAACCACACTGGTCTGCTGGCTTTTCTCTTACAGTGCAAGGCAAGTCTTCACTTTAGAGCCTTTGCAAGGATGTTTCCCTTGCCTGAAATCCAAATGGCTACCTCCCTCAATTCTTACAAGTGCTTCCTCAAATGTCTTCTCTTCAATAAAGCCAACTACGATCACTCCATTTAAACTTCTAGCTTACCCACTCTAATCTACTTACAGTTTTCTCAATTCTTCCATCTTGCTTTACTTTTTTCCATAGCACCTATCACTTTCTAACACACCATGCAATTTACTAACATATTATGCATTTTGTTTATTAACTGTCTCCCCTTGCTAAATTTTAAATTCCCCAAGAGCAAGGACCCTCGTCTATTTTATTCACAAAGGTATCTCAAGTGCATAGAACAGCACCAGGCACATAACAGATGCTTCAATACAATATTTGTTAAGTGAAAAAATGAATTCTCACCACAATATTATGAGGAAGGCACAATTATCCTTTATCAGATGAGAAGACTGGAGCTTAGAGAATATAAGTAATTCATTAAAAGTCACACTACTTATAATGTCAAGACCAAGATTCCAATCTAGGCCTTTCTCCCTAAAGTTCACACTCACTATTTCACACCCAGCGATGTTTGCCCAAGGTTGACAGAGGAGATGGGGAATACCCAGGTGAAGGACACAGTGGGGAGTTAAGGGGGGGGGGCATATATATAAATAAATCTCTGTGTGCCAAGCTAAACAGTTTGGACTACCTCCCACAGCAGAAGCTCTGAGGTAAATGGTGACATGGTTAAATCTATATTTTGAAAAGATAACACAAACAGCTTCCAAATGGAGCAGTGGAAGCCAACAAATTGCCAATAGAGAGAAACACCACATTTAATGGGACATAATCTAATTCTAAGGTCGCCACAACTGAAAATGACTTTCCTCCTACTAATTCATTAGTAAGTAGTACATTTACCACAGTCCTCACTTAGAAAAAGTCTGACACAGCATAAATAGTTATTAAATTATATTTTATTCATATATATTAAATATTGATACGTCACTTAGAAAAAGTCTGACACCGCATAAATAGTTATTAAATTATATTTTATTCGTATATATTAAATATTGATAAACAACAAATGAATTACTTTGCATTTGAGTACAGTCACAACTGTCAGCAATATTCTGAAACATCAGGCATGAGATAAGATGCTATGTTTTTATTAGAGGACAAGTCATATGATCTGAAACATTTGGTGGTGTGTGACATGCTGTTAAAGCAGTGGCTCAGAATGCAGATATGATCACATATAACCAGTGATTGGATAGCATCATTTCATGTATAAATGCTCATTATATGATCAAGTGAAAGAAATGCACAACCCAGAGTCTTGCTTAGGTTGGCTGCTTACTTGGCCCCTGAGATAAAGCCTTGTAATCACATAGTCTTGCCTAGTTAGTCTGAAAATAAAAAGAGTCAAGTGAACTAGTCACAGGATACAGGAATTATAAATAATACATATATTAATAGATATTCATTTTTATTACATAAAAGTTGCTATTATAAATACTTTGATGAGTTTAAAATATATCCCCATATAAATAATGTAAAATATTAAATATTAATAAATAGATTTAGATTTAAAATTCAAATATTGCAGGCAGGATAACAATTATTTCTATGCTTTCCAACCACGAAACAGACTCTGACTCCTTTTCCTCTTCCTTTGGTTAGATTTTGGTGACAGATCAGTCATCACTTTAAAGAGTTCACTTATTGCTTTGCGCTGGACCGTCTGATTATTTACCTATTGGGAAAGAGAACAGCAAAATTAATTTCAGCAATATAAGCCATCAGAATATTCTGTCGTTAATGTCATGGTCCATGGAAATGGAAGTATTCCATTAAAAAGATAATTTTTATTGGCAATATATTACCTTAATAGACACTGGTGTTTTATTCAGCAGTTAAGACTAAAATTATAATTAAATTGCTAGTTGTACTGTAATATGGTGGGCACATGATGTAGCCTTAAATTTACTGCTACAGAATTCTCAAAATTATATAGTAACAGAAGACCTGAAGTGGAATGGCAAAAACATGTGGATTTGAATCCTGTGCACGCAATAACTCTGACTTTGAACCAGTCACCCAACTCCTCTGAATCTCTTGTTTTCTCATCCGAACAATGAGGAGAATGTTTATGTTTAAATGATTTCTAGGCTCTCTAACTAATTCTATCACCTTGTATTTTAGTCTTTGCTGTAAGTATCAAATGAATTAATATAAATCAATGGTTCTCACCTTTGGTGTATAGCAGAAGAACCTGGAGACCTAAGGTAGAACTTAGAGATCCAGGTGCATGAAGTCAGAGAGGGCCTACGCTGTAGTGTGATCACTAAGCTCCCCCAGTGATGCTGGTATCCACCAAAGTTTGAGAACCACTGATATAGGTTTAGTACTTTGTAAATACCAAATCCAAGATGAACAAATGCTATAATTTTTATTTTACCTCCAAATTAGGTCAGTCTCATCATTTTCCCATTGCAATTAAAAGTAAAAATGAATCATTTTTGTATGGCAATAATCAATTCCTGATAGAAACATATAAAACTGAGAATCACAGCTAATTACCCTGCCTTCTATTCCAGCAAGTAGAACTATTTCCTCACTCTAACCAATAGGAACATTTATGTGAATTCATGCTTACTAAATGAGGATGATTTGCTTTGATCTTGGCTCTGCCACTACGTTTCTTTATTCCACCTTGCCACATCTCTGAGAATGACTAGGAAAATTCTAGGCTGCAGAACTAATTACTAAAAGGTATAATGTGCCTTAAATATATTAGCAGTTGAGCAAAAGAGGACAATGGTTGAGAGTTCACTCAAGATCGCTCATATGAAACAGGAAGCTTGGAGTTTCCACAAGAATGAAACCAATGGATTTTTTTCCAAGGCCCAGTTATGGCAAAATAGAAAAAGTTTCTATCAGCTATGTGTTTGTAAGGTTTTTAAGTGATAAATCTACTTTCCAGTGTTCAAAGCATTACTCAGAAACTATGAGACTTATCGAGGACTGAAGAGCAAGCCAGTGGCAGCACTAGATTAGAAACACATGCTTTTTCAGTCTCTAGGCCCATAGCCAAAGATCTGTTTATCATTAGAAAACACTATCAATGGAAAGTAGTAATGGTCTTATAATTTTTCCAAGTCACTTTTGCACCATCTAAGATACTGAAGACTAGAGAAATCCTGAAGAACAAGCTCTTATTTCAGTTTCTAGGGCCTTATCTGAAAAGGGTGAGAGGCAGACCTAGGTACAGTGAGAGCTGGGCATAAATCCTGAGAGCACAGGTCATTATCAGGACCACTGCCTTTCTTATAATTATATCAAAGCAAAACCCAAAGGAATATGGAGGCTTTTCTCTCTTAGCTAAAATTTTGGAAAATGTGTTTTGTCTTTATGCTTCAAAGTTATCTTGTAGTTTCTAGACTCAAGCTTTAGACTCAAGACAATTTCATGAGATAAAGCATGAAAGCCTAACAATTTCTCCAGCTGAGATATTCTAGTATCCAAGAGTTGATAAAACAATTATTTCATAAGGTATAAATTCTACCTGTTTTCTTTTCTAAAAGCAAACAAACGCTCTCACCTCTACTTGGGCTATGCGATATGAAAGGTTAACCAGAATCTGGAAGGGGAATGCCCCTAATGCCTTTCAAAGGCCATAGTTTTCTCCTACCTCATACTCATTTTTTATCCATGGCATTGTAAAGTTTTAGAGCAAAAGAGACCAAAAAATTATAGTGAACCCAACATGCTCCTTTTAAGATGAGGAAACTGAGCCAGGCTGAGTTCATACAGTTCCTTGGCAGCTGAGCTGAGAAGAGAGCACAAATCTTCTCCCCCTCCCACTGCTCTTTCCATTAAGAAATGCAGCCTCCTATCCAAAGCAAGAGAATTTCCATCACACAAGCAAGGGGCAATGAGAGAACTGCTTCTCAATATTCCCCTCAGCTTATTCTCTATGTCCTTCTCACAGAATTTGTCCATTCACCTGTCTTTGTGCAATAGTCATAATGCCAATATTTTCCCAAATCACAAAATTAAATAATCCCCATACTGATCAAAAGCACGAATGGAATCAGTAAGGAGGAGTTTTAGGCATGGGTATATTTCACAATTTTAACAACTGTACCAGTAGCTAATTTCTACTTTCTGGGAATTAAGTACTTTGGCAAGACCCTCTGCAATGAAACCAAAGAAAGAATTAAGATAATCTCACCGGGATTTGAATCACTTTCTTGAAGTCTTCCAGTTTGCTGTTGTTGCTGTTGAAGAACTTAACACGCAGGTCCTCCTTGATGATCTGCACACTGCTTTGAATGATTGGATTATCTTTTAAGTTTTCGAAGAGTTTGAAGTAGAAGGAAACAATTTGGCTCTGAATTATTTTTTTGTCACTCTCCTGGGGAGGAAAGAGCACAAGAGAGGTTGATGTGAATTTATCCATCAGAAGATAAACAACAGGAAAATCAAGCAAGTGGAAATATTCAGCTTACCTCTCTCCAATTCTTCAAAATATCTAGGAAAAGATTCCCACCATCTGCTACATTTGAATTACTTGCATTCTGGAAAAAAAAAAAAAAAAAAAGAAAAATTGGTTTACAATTAGTCCATAAATTGCCCTGAAAGTGTACGTTGAGTTTTATTGCACTCTGATACTGACATTAGTCACTTAATTTTTTTTAACTTTCTGTTTTCTTCTAACAAGTGTTCCCAAAAGCTGGTATGTTGACTATAGCCAAAGACTACCATGCAATTTTAACTTTCATATTTTCTAGCATAACCCTTAAATTGAAATATCACAAATGAATTCAACAAAGCCAATGATACTTCAATTGTCCCAAATTAACTATAGTAAATAAATAAATAAATAA